AAGTTTATATATTTTAATTGTTTGTAATTGGTACTAATTTTAGTACGAAAATAATAGGATGATACGCTCGCTTACTCTCCACATATAACGATTTTTTTTTTTTTGACGTTTTTAACTATCTTTGTTTTTTCCTGAATACTACTAGAGTGCCGAATATTATTCACATTCCAAAGTTTTTTGGTAAAATATTATTCTTGATAAACATAAATAATTTTTTTTTATATAAGTTCACAAATAACCGTTATTTTAATGATGCAAATTTGTATAAAATAAAGAGTTAAATTAACAAACCTACGTATATCGTCAAAACTACAATTATTGTTAACCAAGAAAAATAATTCGTGGTAAAGACAAGATATGCTTTGACCAAAAAATCCGTACTCAAAAAAAAATTTCATTTTTTTTGAATACAATAAAAAAAATCAAATGTATTCAACTGAGATTTTTTCGAACGTATCAATAAGTTAGACCCATGCTTCGAGTTGTTTCAGACCCTAAATAAACTCGAACGCTCAAGAAATCCGTTGGACATGCGGATTCAAATCTCTTACACCCAACACAGTCCTCTGTTCTTGGAGCGGAAGTAATTTGCTTAGCTTTACATCCGTCCCAAGGTATCATTTCTAATACATCGAGTAAAAAAATGAAATTATTTATAAAATTATTTTTATAGTTATTGTGGATGTTTCTAATATTATATAACATCAATAATTATTGTATTAATTAAATATCACATATACACTAATAAATTTTTTTTTTTAAAAAAAAATATTATAATCTTCTAAAATAATACACAAACATACATAGTGAGACAAAATTTACACTCTTACTAAGTATAGAGACATAACATTTTTGATTAATAGTAGTAAATTAATCTTTGAAAGTTTTGAAATTTTCTTGAAATAATAATTTTTTTTTATTTTTTACACGTGGGAAGTGGGTAAAACAAAAGGAAAAAAAATACAACAAATATAATTAGTGTGTGTGTGTATATATATGTGTATGTATATGTGTATGTACCAACGGCAAAAATTGGAACTTGACGTAACAATTATCCAACTGTCAAGGCGGGTTTTAATGCTTCCAATTAATGTTGTTTACTAGACATGATGTTTGCTTGACGATTAAAACTGTATTCAACCGGGCCCCACAGTTCATTCCGTCTTATCAATTTTCGTTTTATTAATTAAAATAAAATAAATTATTAATTTTTTAATCGAATAAATTTTAATAATAATTAATTAATATATAGTAACGATAATAATTAAATGAATAATTTTTTTTTACGTTTGGATGATTGTATATTAATATAAGTTAATGACGTATTCTTTGTTTTGATGATATAACGGTGTGTTTGTATTTTCAGTCAAATTACTAATTCACTCATACTTAATTATGTAATTATAAGTGGTGTATAAAAAATATACAATAAAAAAAATTAAATTATTTACTAATATAATTATATTTGTATTTAATAAAATAAGTAATAAATTATTATGATAAAAATAAAATTAAATATATTATACGAGAGTATAAAGGGAAAAAAAAAAATCTGCCAGTTACGTTACTATCGATTCGTTGATTTTAAAATTCATTATAAATTTGCTAGTCATATACCATTTGTTATTATTAGAAGTTGAAACAAACATGATTTTCTCATACTCGTAGAATAACGTATATTAAAATACTACCATTTAGTGTAATCCAAATAAAGTCTTAGTTTAGTACTTAAATTTTTTTTTTGTAATGTTTTAAAATTATAATTTACATTTCATTTAGAACATCTAATTCATTACTTTAAGTGTATTATAGTTTAATGTTAGTCGACTTATAATATTTGATTTAGCGACATCAATTACTTAATTTACTAGTGTGCTAATAAAATTACAGTAATCAAGTCGATTTTAGTATCACTATAAAAAAATTTAGTATCTTTCTATCGTCATCTGATACGAAATTTATGTTTACATTGAATAATTTCAAAATGTATATATGCCTGAAATGAAATGTAACTTGTTTTATTTTTGAAAAATCAATCCCACAACATATTTATTCTAAAGTTTGATGTATCCGACAAAAATAATATTTTATACTGACTAATTTTATATATAATTCACTATTTTATAAATATATTTTTATCTAATATATAATATTTGATTCAACGATAACTAATAATTTAATTTTATTGGCGTATTTATAGAATAGTAGTAATCAAATCGAATACAATCTTAATGAATCATAATATATTTAGTGAAAACGACGTTACGCGATGACTATATTCCGTTAATTGTGGTAGCCATAACAAACTAAATATTTGAAATAAATTTTTTTCTAATAAATAAATCAAAATAAGTTGATAATTTTTTTAAAAAAACATAAATTTGAAGTGATGTTTTGTTTTTAATAAAACTTAAGTTTTAATTAAATAATTATAAAGTAATAATGATTATTCATTAATTCTAAAGTAACAATGATTTTTTCTTTTGAAGAATAAGTAGTAATAATAATTAAATAATCAATAATTGTGTTTAAAGAAATATAATTAAATTATAATTATGGGAGTTTGAAAATAAATATAAAATTTTCAGATTAAAAAATTGTAAAATCATTTATTACGATAAAATTATAAATTAATATTTAGATTATTCTAATTACTTAATTATATAAACCATATAATAAAATACTTAATTATATTTATAATTGGAGGTCGGCGAATACATACAAAACGAAGAATATAGTTAGTGGGCCCCACTTTATTGGTCAAGGATGGTGATCAGACGACCGAGAATTCTCCGCCGTTGATTTGAATTACCGTTAATCCCTGCTTGATCGACGTAGAGTAGTGGAATATTATTCTTACTTTTTTTTTTTTTTTTTGTAATTATGTAGTATAATATACTTTTATATTTTGTAATATAAATTTCGAGATCCATGCTTTAAAAATAATAATGATAAATAGAAAAAAATAAAAACATAATATACATATATATATATATACACACACACATACATATTTGTTGGTATTATATATTATTTATTATTGTTTTGGTTATTATGATTGGATGCAATTTAATATGATTTAATTTCACGTGAGAAATCTTGAAAATCATATTAATTTAATGTAACATATTTATATGGACCGACACATGCGTCACATTTGCTCCTCTCTCTTTTTTTAATTACTTTTTCTTCATATTATATAGTTCATATATAATAAAATAAATCTATATGTTAGATAAATCGTATATAAGTTGCATATTTACCACGAACCTAATAAAAAAATTTTCTTTATAATTTTTTTTTAAACTTTAGAAATATTTTTGGAGTTCAGATCATTTCATAAAGGCTTCCAAATTGTAAGTATAATATAAATTTTTATTAGATTTCGTTGATCAGATTAATAAAAAATTATACGAGCATTCGTGAATAAAATTATATTTTGTAACCGAACGAATATCTATTTTGTTTTAACTCTATTATACGAATTTTATGTATTGTAAACAGTGTTACAATGTGATCAAATAATAGATGATAGATATTTTGAATATACGAATATTTTATTAATTGTATTTTCGTTATATATTAAAAATTTAACTGCGTCACATGTGTAAAATGTCTAATGAATATAATTAATATATATATATATTATTATTATTGTTATTATGTAAGTTAATGTTGTATAAAATTTTTGTTATTCTAAACTTTTAACCCATTTGGAATGAGGAATATGTTTATGCACCTACTAAATATATAATTAATTACTGTAAACCTATATTATTGGAAGTTAATTACACAGATTAATTAATTAATTAATTATGTATTAAATAATAATTATGATAATTAGTTTAAAAATTATTTTAATATATATATGTATATATTAAATTAAAGAGAGACAACTAGCTACAGCATACGGTTATATTTTAATTGGTATATGCAGCTTCGTCTTATATTCCATATTAGATACCAAAGCTCTGTAAATGTACACGAGCACAGACCACATGTTGATCTATTACTTCATTAAACGACGTCGTTTTCACTGAATCATATTGGTTCATAAAATTATTAATATATATTTTAATTTAAAAATGCATGTGAGTTGAAAACTAAATATATTAAAAGAGATATAAAAATAAAATAATATTTTTTTATATAAATAATTAAATTTTTTTATATTTTTAATAAAATAAATTTTTATAAAAAATATAAATTCGATTTATTTTATATAATTTTTTTAAAAAAATTAAGAATAATAATTTATTTATCTATTTATTTAGCGTTCGTGGAGTTTTCTACTTTTAAACGGAGGTTT